CTGGTTGGCTGGCTTTAAAAAAAAAAAAAAAGTTTTTAAAGTCACACAAAGGGGCTGGAGAGATGGCTCAGAGGTTAAGAACACTGACTGCTCTTCCAGAGGTCCTGAGTTCAATTCCCAGCAACCACATGGTGGCTCACAACTCTCCGTTATGAGATCTGGTGCCCTCTTCTGGTGTGCAGATATACATGGAAGCAGAATGTTGTATACATAATAAATAAATAAATAAATAAATAAATAAATAGGTCAATGTTAAAAAAAAAAGTTACACAAAGTTGGGCCGAGTGTTGGTGATGAACACCTTTAATCCCAGCACTCAGAAGGCAGAGACAGGCAGATCTCTGTGAGCTCGAGGCGAGCCTAGTCTCCAGAGCGAGTGCCAGGATAGGCTCCAAAGCTACACAGAGAAACCCTGTCTCGAAAAACAAAAAACAACAACAACAACAAAAAAATTACACAAAATTGGGAGATGGCTCAGTGGAAGGATACTTGCTGCTCTTGCAGAGGATCTGGTTCAGTTCATAGCACTGACTTGGCAGCTCACCAGTACCTTAACTCCAGACCTAGGGGAATCTGATGCCCTCTTCTGACCTGAGTGCTGTGCTGTGTGGTGCATATTCATAAATGCAGGCACACACTCATAACCATGAAATGAACCTTAAAAAACTGTGCATTGCTGGGCAATGGTAGAGCATGTTTGCTGTGGAATATTCCTTTACACTGTGTGAATATATGTTGCTGTGATTGGGTTAATAAAGCAGCTTACTGGCCAATAGCTGAACAGAATAAGGTTAGGTAGGAGAGCCAAATAGATGCTGGGAGAAAGAAGGGCGGGGTCTGGAGTTTCCAGCCAGATGCAGAGCGAGCAGATGTGCCATGTTAATATGGTACTGCCCCGTGGTGGCAGAGCATAAATAAGGAATATAGGTTAACTCAAATGTAAGAGCTAGCTAGTAATAAGCCTGAACTATTGGCTGAGCATTTATCATTAACATAATAAGCCTCAGTGTGTTTGAGAGTGACTGCAGGATAGAAAAATTCCACCTACACATGCCTTTAATCCAAGCACCTGGGAGGCAGAGGCAGGCAGATCTCTGAGTTCGAGGTCAGCCTGGTCTACAAAGTTAGTTCCAGGACAGCTATGACTACACAAAGAAAGCCTGTCTGGGAAAAAACAAACAAAAACCTTGAATGCTGTTTGAGGATAGGCACATCTGTGCCATGTCATGTTTGTGGAGCTCAGAGGGCAACTTCTGGGGACATTTTCTTTGTTATTGTTGTTGGAGATAGGGTCTCACTATGTAGCTCTAACTGTACTGGAACCGAGTTATGCCTGCCTCCGCCTCCTGAATGCCTGGCGATTTGTATGTGTTTTGCTTGTACATACATATTCCTTATGCTCACAGAGATAAAAGTGCATTGCTTCGCTGCAACTAGAATTAATGAGAGCCACCATGTAATATTGGGAACTAAACCCAGGTCCTCTGCAATACTCTTAACCACTGAGTCATTTCTCCAGTCCCTTTCACACAAGGTAAGTGATGGCAGTGTTTAATACCTTCTAGTACAGAGGTCCCAGCATGTGGATCACCAATGGAGCACTTGCCTTATAGTCTACACTATTTTGGGGAGAATCCCCTCTCCCTGCCCCCAAAAGTAAAGTATGGCTAGATAAGGTTAGGGTCAAAGACAATAGAGTGGAAATCTTTGAAGTCACAGGACTGGAAGCTAGAGTCTGAGTGATAAGCTGTTGCAGCCTTGAAGAGATCTTCAAATTTCCTCTTGTGTATGCAGTGTCCAGTCACACATTCAGGAATGCCAGAGGCCTTCAGCATCTCCCTAAACTGTTCTTCCCACTGTGTGTGTGTGTGTAACCCTGATCACTCTGTACAACAGGCTGGCCTTGAATTCAGCGATCTGCCTGCTTTTGCCTCCCAATGCTGGGATTAAAACACCACTGCACAGCTCCATTCCCGGAGTCGTCCCCCTCACCCCCCATTTAGTTTTAAAGACAGGGTCTCGCTATGTAGACCAGCTTGCCTTGAACTCTGAGATCATCAGGTCTCTGTCTCCTTGAATGCTGGAATCAAGGCATGTGTCACCATGTGTCTGTCCCCCACCACACTATTTTGGAGACAGGCTCTTTCTTCAGTTAGATTGGCTGGCCAGCAAGCTCCTGGCCTGTCTTCAAGCCCCCAAGTGCTGGGGTTAAATGCATGACACTGTGTCCTGCTTTTCATGTGGTACCGGATAGTATGCATGCTTGTTTTTTATCTGCTAAGCCATCTTTCCATACCTGAACTTTGATTTTTTTTCTTCGTAAAATTAAGATGTGTGGGGCTGGGGGGGATGGCTCAGTGGTTCAGAGGACTGGCTGCTCTCCCAGAGGCCCTGGGTTCAATTCTCAGCACCCACACGGCAGCGAACAACTGTCTGTATAATTCCAGTTCCAAGGGATCTGACACCCTCATGTAGACACAAATGCAGGCCAAACCACCAATGCACACGAAATAAAAACAATTTAAAATTAAGATGAGTGACATCTTGGTTGTCTCCCTACAAGGCTCAGGGAACACTGAAGAAAGGACAGAAGAGCTGGAGGGAATGGAAGTGTCGTGAAACACTTTTTTTTTTTTTTTGGTTTTCGAGACAGAGTTTCTCTGTGGCTTTGGAGGCTGTCCTGAAACTAGCTCTTGTAGACCAGGCTGGTCTCGACCTCACAGAGATCCGCCTGCCTCTGCCTCCCCGAGTGCTGGGATTAAAGGCGTGCGCCACCACCACCTGGCTGTGTGACTTGGATGCTGCACTTAAAAAAAATTATTTGTACGTGCTCACAGGCAATTGTGTGGAGTTCAGAGAACAAGTTGCTGGAATGAATTTTCTCCTTCCATAGAGTGAGTCTTGAGGATCAGACTCAGGTCATCAGGCCACTGAGCCATCTTACAGCCCCTAGCTGTTGGACTCCTGAACTCACAGCAGTTGTGATTACCTGGACAAGATCTCTACAAGACTGGGTCCCTCCCCATCATGAAGATTTATATGTCAGTAGCAGTTGCTGGCGGAACAAGAAACATTTTTTTCAGTGGTATTATCACTGGTGAGGGTTCCTTGAGTTAGTAATCAAGATTAAACTCACAAGACATACAAATAGCAGTGTTAGTCCAAGGGAGGTAAAAGGCTATATAGTTCTAGGTTAGTTCAAGGCCAGACAGGATTACATATCGAGAACCTGTCTCTCTCTCACACACTAGCTGGGAAGAGAGGAAGCATGTAAGTGGGAGTGGGGTGCAGACATTAATGGGGGAACTGGAGAAATGTTTCAGTGGTTAAGAGCCCTGGCTGCTCTTCCAGAGGACCTGGGTTCAATTCCCAGCAACCACATGGTAGCTTACAATTGTCTGTAATTCCAGTTCCAGGAGATTTAACCAATGCACATAAAATAAAGTTAAATATAAAAAAAGAGAGTCAGTAATGGAGGGTGAATTAAAAAAATACTTTATATACACATAAAATGCCTTAATGAATTTTATGTATCATTTACATATGCTAATTAAAACATCTAAAAATTAAGCTGGGAGCTGGTGGCGCTCGCCTTTAATCCCAGCACTCGGGAGGCAGACGAAGGCAGATCTCTGTGAGTTCGAGACCAGCCTGGTCTACAAGTGCTAGTTTGAGGACAGCCTCCAAAGCCACAGAGATATCCTGTCTTGAAAAACCAAAAAAAAAACCAAAAAAAAAAAAAAAAAAAACCCCAAAAAAAAACCAAAAAAAAAAAAAAATCTAAAAATTACAAACGTGAACGTTTTAGAAACCTTTATTAGATTTTAATTTATTTTGTGAGCATGGAGGTCACAGGACAACTTGGAGTTGATTGATTCTCTCTCTCCCAGGTAAGTTCCAGGGCATGAACTCAGGTGGTTGGGCTTGGCTAAACATGCCTTTACCTACTGAGCCACCTTGACAGTCTCCAAAATGTGTATTAGCATCCTCATCTTGCCAAAAGGTTTGGACTTAAGAATTACCACACACCAGAGGTGATAGCACACACCTTTAATTCCAGCATACAGAAAGCAAAGACAGGGATCTCTGAGTTCCAGGACAGCCAGGTCCCCACAGAGAAACCCTGTCTCAAAAAACCCAAAAACCCAACCAAACAAAAAGAACTACCACACTTTCTGTACATCTGACAACAAAAGATAGAGACAAAACATACCACCAGGACTGGGGGTAGCTCAGTGTACAACAGATCTTAAACAAATCATGACAAAGAGGACTGGTTGATCCTCAGCCTTTATTGACTAGCCACAGGCCACCTGACACTGGTAGTCTTGCTTTCCTAATGTTTTAGCTTGAACTTTGCCAGATCCAACCTATGTGTCCCACCTTGTTCCTTTGCACAGAACTGTTTGAAGGGTCCCTGCAGTGTAATGACATATGACTGCATGTAGGCTTTGGGAGCTTTCCTCTGTGCTTCCAATTGCTGCCATACACCTAACACTGACATCTGTTCACTTCCATATCTATCTCCTGCACTGATGGTATTACACAATGTTACCAGTTAAGAGAAGCTAGGTCCAAGGGCCTCAAGGACTAAATAGAAACTATTAAACAAAACAAAAAAATCCCAAGAAGACCGGAGAAGGGGCTGGAGAGATGACTCAGAGGTTAAGAGCACTGACTACTCTTCCAGGGGACCTGAGTTCAATTCCCAGCAAACACAGGGTGGCTCATGACTATCTATAATGAAATCTGGTGCCCTCTTCTGGTATGCAGGCAGAACATTGTATACATAATAAATAAATACATTTTTAAAAAAATTTAGAAAAAATAATTTAAAAAATGGGGTTGGAGAGTGGCTCAGAGGTTAAGAGCACTTCCTGTTCTTCCAGAGTTCAACTCTCAGCAACCTCATGGTGGGTCACAAACATCTGTAATGAGACCTGATGCCTTATTCTGGCCTGCAGGCATACATGCAGATAGAAAAGTGCATACATTAAAAAAAAAAAAAAAAAAAAAAAGCCTTGGGGGTTCAGTGCTTGCCCTGTATGTACAAGACCCCGTCTTTGATGTCTAGTACTCAACAATAATAAAGTGTACAGCAGAACCCTTTCTCCCCCCATCTGGGAAGTGCAGGCAAGTCACCCTTTGCTACACAGTAGGCTATTATGCATGGACTGTGTACACTGTGGTGGACTGGAGCTGAGGCAGGAGGATTTAGGGTCAGTCTGGGTTCTTTGGGAGTCCTAGTCTCAAAACCCAACCAAATAAACAATAACCCCCAAACAAAAAGTTCTTTTTTGTTCTGTTTTACAGTGCTGGGATTGGAAGCCAAGAACCCAGGCACGCTAGGCAAGTGCTCTACCACTGAAGTACATCCCCGTCGACAACAGGCTACCCCATACAGGCTCCTTACTAGTACTTCTGGTGGTTATAAATATAACACGGACAAATGCTTCAGCTCTTCTCCATGTTCAAGACCAGTCCTTCAGCTGTTCTCCATCTCCAAGATCAGGAAAGCTTTCAATTAGCTTCGGCTAATGAAACAGACGGAGCGAGAAGGTCTTCCCACAAAACCACACCGAGCAGAGTTTACAACCAGCCATCTCATCCGTTGCATCCACTCGTGGCAAACAGTCTGCCTGAACCTGGAGACCTGGGGTTTCATCTGGAAACCTCGGCCTGCACCAGTGAATTGGCCTCGCTCAGCGCCAGTCTATCCTTTTTTTCCTTTTGCAAGACCTGCTCTTCCCACAGCGCCTGGTCCACCTGGTCATCAGTGAGCACAATCGGCTTGTACTTCTCCTCGAACAGCCTCTCGTTGGCCTCGGAATGCAGCTGGTGGGGCCCGACGACACGGAGGTGCGCAGGCAGGTGAAGAAACTCGTCGTCGTTAATGTCGCAATCCTGCATGCGGTTCTCCAGGATCCACCAACGGCCCAGGAACCCCACGTCGAGGACCCGACCGGGGAAGTCGATCCAACGCGGCTGCAGGTAGCGGCAGCGGGCCTGGTAGAGGCTGGCCTGGGCATCGAAGGGCGCCTCGTACACCAGCGAGCAGAGCCCCAGGTTCACGTGGCGCAGCCGCCCGCGGCCTCTCAGCCACAGCAGGCGCTGCAAGAACGCTTCCGAGTGACGGTTACGCGTGGCCGGCGCCAGCAGCAGGAGGGACCCC